GTCTTCTCAGCTCCCCCCTTTAACCCTCCCATGTATCAATTTTGTATCTACCGACACAATTGTCTCTCCTAGCTAGACTGCAAGATTCTTGAGGGTGGGTACTGTTTCACTGTCATCTTTGTATTCCCAGTACCCAGCACTGTGCCTCCTATGTAGGCATTTAATAAATGCTTGTTGATTAATTAATGAACACATAAATGGCACTCCTATCAAACTGGAAAATGACAAAGGCTAGGAGGGATAAAAAACAAATATGCTGAATGACAGAATTCCAAAAGATCTCAAAAATCTTAAATAATGTGACAAATCTAACAAAATTTCATATAACAGGGAAAACAGTAAACTCCTATACTTAGATTTACAAAAGTTAACTGTACAAGAACAGAAGAGGAATATTTGTAGATATCAGATGATGTGAAAAATACTCCCAGTGAATTCAATATAAATAAATGATGGAAAATGACTGTGATTCTAAACTACATTAATACAAGTATAATGTCCAGAACCATGTCTCCCCCAACCTCCTTGAAAAGATCATCTACAATAGGTGCCTCCACTTTCTCTCCTCTCACTCTCCTCTTAACCCTTTACAATCTGCCTTCCTACCTTATCATTCCACTGAAACTGCTCCCTCCAAAGTTACCAATGATCTCTTACTTGTCAAATCCAATGGCCTTTTCTCAATCCTCGTTCTCCATGACCTCTCTGTGGTCTTTGACACTGTTGATTATTCTCTCCTCCTTGATACTCTCTTCTCTCTAGGTTTTCAGGATACTACTCTCTCCTGGCTCTCCTCCTACCTTCCTTCTCAGTCTCCTTTGCTGGATCTTCCTCCAGATCATACCCTCTAACCATAGGTGTCTCTCAGGATTCTGTCCTGGGTTTTCTCCTCTTCTCCCTCTATACTACTTTACTTAGTGATCTCATCAGTTTCCATGGATTCAATTAGCATCCCTATGCCGACAATTCTCAAATATATCTATCCTGCCCCAATCTCTCTGCTGACCTCCAATCTTTCATCTCCAACTGCCTTTCAGACATCTTGAACTGGACATCTTAAACCTGACATGTCCAAAATTGAACTCATTATCTTGCCCCCTAAACTCTCCCCACCTCCTATCTTCTCTGTTACTGCAGAAGGCAACACCATCCTGACAGTCCTTCAGGCTTACAACCGGAGTCATCCTGGACTCCTCACTATCTCTCAACCTACCATATTCAATTTGTTGCTAAGGCCTACCAGTTTTGCCTTTGCGATATTTTTTGAATATGCCCCTTTCTTTCCTCTGACACTGCTACTCCTCTGGTGAAGACCCTTATCGTCTGTTATACCTGTTACACCTTGGAACACATAAACAAAGCAGAGGCATCTGTGCTGTCTCAAGAAGGGAATTTCCTTTAAGCTTTTATCTCTTAACTATATCATCCATTGTAGAACCCAAGGAGTTATTGCTTTGAGTTTTGCTATGGTTTATTATGATTATTGCTATAAGACTCCCCCAACAGGCAACTGTAATATTGCTCTTCCCATCTCAAATCTCTCCCCATTCCAATCTATCCTTCGTTCAGCCACCAAAGTGATTTTTCTAAAGTGCAGGTCTGACAATGTCACCCACCTAATTAAAAATTCTAGTGACTCCCTACTGACTCCAAAATCTAATACAAAATCCTCTGATGGTGTTCAAACCCTTCATAACCTTTTCAGTCTTCTTACATCTTACTTTCGCTCACATACTCTGCAGTCCTTTAACATCAGCCTCCTGGCTGTTCCGTGGACAAGACACTCCATCTCTAGACTCCAGGAATTTTCTATGGTTGTGCCCCTTGCCTGGAATGCTCTCCTTCCTCATCTCCACCTACTGGCTTCCCTGGATTCCCTTAAGTTCCAACTAAAATCTCACCTTGTACAGGAAGCCTTTCCCTCTTCATTCTAGTGCCTTCCCTCTCTTAATTAGTTTGTCTGTATACTTGTTTTTGTCTGTTGTCACTCCATTGGACTCTGTGAGCTTGTTGAGAGCGGAGACTGTCTTTTGCCTCTTCTTGTTTCCTCAGTGCTTGGCACAGCGCCTGGCACTGAGCAGGCACTTAGTGTTTACTGACTGACTGAATGACCACTGAAAACAAGAGGTAGCAGCCCTACCTCCTGGCCAAACCATATTTGCAGTAGTGTGTTTAAGCCTGGGCACCACATTTTAAGTAGTACATTAACTAGAGAGAAAAAGGTTGCTCAGGAGTAAGCAACCAAGATGGTGAAGGGGCTTTGAAAGCATGTACTAGGAGGATTTGCTGAAGAACTGGGAGTTTTTAGTTTACAGACGAGAAACTCCTAAGTATCTGAAAGGCTACCATGTGGCAGGGAATTAGATTTGATCTGTTTGATTCAAAAGGGCAGAACTAGACCTAATATTTAGAGATGTCTAGGGCTAGGCATGTGGGGCACACCTGTAGTCATAGCTCATGGGGAGGTTTAAGCTGGTGGATCTCTTGAGCTTGGGAGCTCTGAGCTGCAGGAGGTTATGTCCTCATTAAGTCTAGCATCAATAGGGTGCGCCTCCAAGAGTGGGGGGCCATCTAATTGCTTAAAGAGGGATGAATCAGCTCAGTTAGAAACAGAACAGGTCGAAGTTCCCATGTCAATCAGTAGTAGGATCTCGTCCACAAGTAAGGCCCAATACTTTCAGCCTGGGTGAGGTAGGGTGACCTAATTTTTAAAAAAAGAAAAAACAAATGACTGGGAAGGAGATTGCAGCTCAATGTATGGAAGAACTTTGTAACAAATGGAGCTTTAAATAGGCTTTTATTCCCAAAATTGATAAATGGTCAAAAGATATGAACAGGCAGTTTTCAGAAGAAGAAATTAAAGCTATTTACAGTCATATGAAAAATGCTCTAAATCACTAGTGATTAGAGAAATGCAAATCAAAATGAATCTGAGGTACCACATCTATCAGATTGGCTAACATAACAAAACAGGAAAATGATAAATGTTGGAGAGGATGTGGAAAAATTGGAATAGTAATGCATTGTTGGTGGAGTTGTGAACTGATCCAACCATTCTGGAGAGCAATTTTGAACTATACCCAAAGGGCTATAAAAATGTGCATACGCTTTGACCCAGTGATACCACTTCTAGGGCTGTATCTCAAAGAGATCATAAAAATGGGAAAAGGACCCACATGTACAAAAATATTTATAGTAGCCCTTTCTGTGGCGGCAAAGAATTGGAAATTGAGGGGATGCCCATCAACTGGGGAATGGCTGAACAAGTTGTGTTACATGAATGTAATGGAATACTATTGTGCTGTAAGAAATGATGAACAAGCAGACTTCAGAAAAACCTGGAAAGACTTATATGCCTGATGTTGAGTGAAGTGAGCAGAACCAGCATAACATTGTACACAGTAATAGCCACATTGTGCGATGACTAACTTTGATAGACTTAGCCCTTCTCAGCATTGCAAGGATCTAAGACATCTCCAAAAGTCTCATGATGAAAAATGCTATCCACATCCAGAGAAAGAACTATGGAATTTGAATGCAGATCAAAGCATACTATTTGCTCTTTTTTTTTCCTTTCTGTTTTGTTTTCTCTTTCTCGTGGTTCCTCCTATTGGTTCTAATTCTTCTTTACAACATCACTAAGGTGAAAATATGTTTAATAGGAATGTATATGTACAGCCCATATCAGATTGCACGCCGTTTTGAGGAGGGAGGAAAGAAGGAAGGGGGAAAGAATTTAAAACTCAAAAGCTTATAGAAGTGATGGTTGAAAACTAAAAATAAATTAATTAATTAAAAAAATACGAAAAACGGAATAGGCTTCTTTATGAGATGAGTTCCCTGTTGCTGGAGATCTTAAAAGAGAGGCTGAAGATCAGTGGTTGGGAATTTGTAGAGGAGTTCAAATTAGTTCAAAGAAAAGGCTGGACTAAACACTCTCTGAAGTCATAGGATTCTATGTTTGAATAAGACATGCATCAACAACTAGTCCTGAAGGCTCTTCGGCTGTTTCACAGCTGGGCAAGACTGGATAGAGGGCAGTCAGTTCAGACCTAACGACAGCAGTGGCCCATCAGGGAAGGGGACAGAAGTCCAGAGAAAATGAGCTCTTCAGTTAATGAGATGAAAACTTGTTAACCACGGCAACCACAGCACATCCCTGGAGATTTTCACATATAATTTGGCAGAAAATAGCAAAGGAACAAGGAAGGAAGGGATCCAAAGAGAGAAGAAAGAACAATGGCACCAAGTATAATATGGGAAAACATTAATTCGTCCATTCTAGTCAGCACTGGCTAAGAAAAAGAGACCGAGTTAAAAATGGAGGAAGTAAGAACTGAACAAAAGGTCAAACCCAGAAACACTACACCACAGACTCAAGGTGTCCTGTTTCTTGACGTCAACTTCTATAAAAAGGCTTTCCTGGCTTCTGAGAGAAAATTTCCCCAGCACCTTGCGACAATGAGGAAGAGATTTCTGGTCTGAACTAAGAATCCTTAACCAGAACCTTTAAAGGAGAAGGTCATCTTCATGGCACTTTTGCATAGGAAGAAGAGGTACAAGACTTCCTAGGTTGGCCCAGCACCATGGCCTGGAACTTGTAGTAATAATCCTTTGGGTTCTACAAGGGATGATATAGTTAGGGGGTAGCAGCTTGAAGTAAAGTCCCTTCTTGAGACAGTATAGATAACATTCAAATAAGTCTCTGCTTTGTTCATGAGTTCCAAGGAAAAAGAAGTTACCCACTCTATTTTTCGGCCTGCGGAAACTTCAAAGAAACTTCTAAACTTGGAAAGTCTGTTTTTTAAAAGTAAATTATGTAAACGACAATTAAGAGCAATCTTGTGGGGCAGAAGTAGGCATGGCTGAGGAAATCTCACTTAGTACAGAGCACACTCTTCCAGGAACATGACTCTATTGATTCCAGATGGAAAAGCAGCAGCAATCAACCATGGGACAAAAGACCAGACCGAGGGACTGGAGGCTTAGGGACCACTTACCGCTCCTGATGAATGCTTCCCCCAGATGAAACAGTTCAGCACAAAGCAGATGCCAAAGACCACCCCAGGATACAGCATCGCCGTCTGGTGACAAGATTGAGTTAGGTTGGCTAGAGGGAGCCGCCGGCATGTGAAGAGCATCTCCCTGCCCTAAGGAGAGCTCCTTATGCAGAGTGTCTATCTGTCCGGGGCATATTCTCTCTCAACAGGTGGGACAAGCCCATAGGGACCCTCATTCTATGATCATTGCTGCTGCACAAACAGAAGTCAGGTTTTTAACTGCACTGCAGATTTCTCAAGTTAATCATAGGTAGCTACATCCTCCAACTGCCTAAAGCCCTTCTAAGTAGGGGCAAGGCACTTCTGGCAGTTGTACATTAACGTGTTTTCAGATCACAGATGACTATGGTGTTTTGCTGCTTTGATGGACTGCTCCAGTTCTAACATCTTGTGAATCTGCACAATTGCTAATTTGAAAGAGCCAACACCATTTCCCAAAAGGCTTAATGTTCTTTTGAGACCAGAGGCAATCTCTGTAAGAAGATGCCACATCATTCTTTGAGTTATCATTTCTAACAGGTTCTACTGATGGTATATTTTTCTCTTACGTGTTCAAAGCCTGGACTTTCTTTCCCTCCCTCACCAGTTCTGAGAGGGACAAAGGGCTACATAATGCTCTCATTTGATAGGGAAAAATACCCTGAAGTACATATGACAATAGGATTGTTTTTATTTAATAAATCCATCTCCCTCCTCTTTCTCTCAGCCATTAATCCTCATTGTTCTTTTGAACAAGTTTTAAGGCAAAGATTAAGGGGAAGGAGTATCTCCAAATGTCTATAGCCCCGTCTGTCTTAACTATTCCACTGTACTGACCCAAATTCTTTCCCAGGATTCTCTGTCTGTTTTCTGACTTGTCACAGTTCTTCAAACCCCACCCCCAACAGACTTTCTTGCCAGATCTCTCTTTCCCCTAATATCTATCACAGCTCTAGATAAATGAATAAAAAATCATTCAGGTCTGCTGAGGAAAATCTCTGCTTCCAAGATAATACTGGGAAAGGTTGGGATAAAGAGAGCTACTCACACAGAAGGCTCCTTTCTTCCACCGATGACCCTTCAGGGTCCGATATAGACGGCCAGCTGAAAATCCACCAAAAACCCTGTGGGAGAACACTGGGAATTACTCTAGTTAGGGGAAGGAAAAATAAAGACCATAAAGAAGATTTCCTCCCAATCACCCTTCCCAAATAATGAATACACAACCTACCCCATGAACATGAAAAGGAAACAAGCTGTGGTCATTAGAGCACCCCGGCTGGAAGGAGACAGCATTCCCAGCATGGCAACAACTGGGGAGGGAGAAGGCAGAAATGAGGAGGCAGAGCAACATACTCCACACCTGCTTATTGTAATCTCAGGGTTTTAACTGACTACAACAACTCTGACCCAGTCTTTTCCCAAGATGGGAAAACCCTCTTTTTATAGCAGGTCTAAAGATGGATGCTAGCTAGGTCTTAGCATTAGCTACAATTACTTCTGCATCCTTACTAATCATGGAAAACTTGATCCCTAAGCTTCAGGTAGGGAAGGGGAGAGGGAGAGGGAGAGGGAGAGGGGCAGAGAGAGGAGAGGGGAGAGAGAGGGAGAGGGAGGGAGAGAGAGAGAGAGAGGGAGAGAGAAAAAGAGAGAGAGAGAGAGAGCGAGAGAGAGAGAGAGAGAATACATGATGGTCACTGGTTAGTAAAAGAAACATGTGGGACCAGTGTGGACAGCTTCTTCAAAGATGGCACTTGCCTGGTAGGAACCTAGAAGGCCAAGAAGTGGTGACCCCCTGGGCACCTGCTCTTACTCTCACTCTCTAAAGTGCCCTGGCAAAAGAGAGTGACTAACCCACTGTATAAGATAGCCTGGCACAGAAATGGCATGAGCATCAGGACAACCATTCCCCTTTCAGTCACAAGATACCACTCACAGATGACAATCAGTATCATACAGAAGAGTTGAATTCCAGAGCCTAGCAGGGAGCTGAGAATCATGGGATATTGGGGGGGCCTGAAGACATCACCATGTACCAATTTCCAGCCAGATTCCTCCATGGTGTCTTCCTATATAAAAAATCCACAGAAGCAGTACTGTGAGTCTATGTTACAGTGATTACCACCTAAGAAAGTTCCTTACTTCCTTAGCTCAAGCTCTGTCACTTCTGAACCCCTTCTTCCCTTCCCTGATGCTAGGAGGTACCCTCTCCCATTCCCCACCAAGGCCATCATACAATGTCGTCCTCCTTGTTATAGTTGGCAATGTCCTTTCGGAGAGTCCGGATGATGATCATACTGAGGATACCTGAAAGATGCACACAGGTGGACCCGTCAGCTCCATTATGTGCTTCTCTTTCCACAGACTGTCAATGTTTCACTGAGGACCGATGGGGCTTCTTCTCTTAGATGGACTATTAGATGTAGGGGATCAGGGACTCCCCCACAGTTTGAAGAGACCTCAGAGAAGAATATCTAGTCAATCCGTACCAGAACAGAGATCACTTCTTTGACAACTTCAACAAGAAGTCACTCACCTATTGCTTGCAGAGCTCTAGTAATGGGAAAAACCCCTATACTACCTGAGGCTGCCCAATCCCCTTTTAGATAGCTCTAATTACTAGAAAGTTAGAACCTTCTAAAGATTTGTGCTTGTTCTCCTCTCTGGGACCAAGCAGAACAAATGCAACTGCTCTTTTCCATGACAACCCCATTAAATATTTAAAGACAGAACTGGAGAAATTTCCCACCATATAGGACAGGGTACATGGTGACCTACTCTCCACTTGTGATAAAAGGCTACAACAGATATGATGGATAAAAGGGAGGCACAGGACAATTTTACTCTCGTGGGCTGTTACTCTTACCCTCCAAAGGCCCCACCTCCCAGGCATTGCTCTTTTTGCTCCCGTTTGTAAATGGGGAGAGGACTGATCTACAGACCTCCTCCACAATCGACATCTCTCTCACCTGACAGGAAGAAGACCACCACAACAGAGTTAATGATGGAAAACCAGTGGATCTGCACGTCACTCATGGTCAGATAGGTATCCCAGCGGGAGGCCCATTTGATATCACTCTCCTGGGAGGAGGAATAGAGAGCAGTGTCAGGCTCTTTCAGTGGAAATCCTCAAAAAGAAGACCATCCTCTTCCCTGCCCGAGGACCCCAGCTCCTGCCTCACCTCCCAGTGCACAGAGTAGGTGAACAGTAGCTGGTTCTCCTTGGTAGGATCGATTTCTTGTGGGGCAGAGCTGCAGCATCAGGCAGGGTACACGAGTTCTTCTCATCCACCTTGAGGTCTGCAGGAGATACAAACTTGGTCTGTCCCTGACAAGGTACCCAAGAGCTCCAAGAAAGGCTGATCTATTGGTTTGCTGATGCTGACACTCCCTCCCTACCTTTTACCCCTCAAAATGTGAACCTGGAGTCCTGGACTCTAGCAGCTTGGCCTGGTGAGTTAGGAGGAATACCCAATTTGCTAGCTAAAGGAGAAGGCTAAGTTCACTCATCTCCCCAAAGGATTCCACAGCTGGGAGAACAGCAGGTTGGCTTGCATGAGACAGAAAACACCATGAGAGGCTGACTGAAGGAGTATGGAGATTTTTAGAAAGAGGACTAAACTCACAATTCCAGCAGGACAACTTAGCTAAGCCCTGACACACCTGACATAATATGTAGTCAGGGCATAAGAGCACTTTAAGGTTTACAAAACACTATCCTCATAGCCACCCTGAGAGGTAGTACTGCAATAATTACTATCTCCCATCTTACACATAAGGAAACTGAGACTCACAGAGAAGAAATGACCTTCCAAGGTCCCAAAGCTAGAGAGCATTTGAGCTGAGATTTGAACCCAGGTTTCCTGACTCCCAAGTCAAGGACTCCTTATAGTACATTACACTCTGTAGGAAGCTACAGGGTCCAAATGTGACATGCCTCCCAGAATGGAGGTGAAGAAAGGAGCCCCTGAAATGGAAGCTAATAAAAATCAAAGTAAAAGGGACAAGATTAGCTTCCTGAAGAAGTCAACCACCCTGAGATTTTGAGTGTATTCCTAAGGAGATCCAGGCACCTCCCATAAGAGATAGCAATCCAAATATAATTAATATAAATACTAAACTCCTCATAGTTTTGTAGCACTTTATATACATCACCTCATTTGATCCTCATAACAACTCTGTGAAAGGGCAAGGCATGTCATATTATCCTTATTTTACAGCAGAGGACACTGAGGCTCAGAGGTGCCCAGGGTCAAGATTTAAAACTGGAGTCTGATAATTCAATGTGGGGTGCCCCTCTCACTCTCTAGGTTCACTTAGCAGATAACATGGTACAGTGGGAAAGGGCACTGGACTTGGGAGTAATCAGACATGGCTTCTGCTTTAGATCCCTTTGGCCTACGAGGCAAACTTCTAAGAAGCAGATGTTCTTTGAACAGGATCCAGCCTCTCTCAGTTTTATGGATGAAACCAGAGCTCAAGCTCTTACCTATCTCTGCAGCTAGAAGTACTCTGGCTGTGGAATCTCAGCCTAGTCCTTCCCCTCTGACCATGGCCCCCCACTCACCCTCCAGTCTGATGCTCTGGGGAATCACCTCAAAGCGGACGACGCGATAATTGTGCTCCTGATCTTCTTCTACATCCTCTCTGTGATAGTAAAGGATGAAGGAAAGATGATTATGTAGATAGATCTGAAATAGAAAGGAAAGGAAAAATAAATATACATATCAACGGCTAGATGAATGGCAGCATGGAGCAGTGGTTACAGTTGGCCTCGAAGCCAAGAAGGCCTGGTTCAAGCCTTGCCTCTTGTACATACTTGCTTTTTGACCTTGGACAAATCACTTAATCTCTCAGTGTTTTAGACAGCTCTCTAAGATGATAAATTACATAGAGGGTGCTGACTTGCATTGGTAGAGGAAGTTTCCTCACCTGGGAGTTCACCATCCCAGTGAAATCCCAGGTCCAGTCCCCATTCCTATCTATAGCATCCACTAACATCCTTCTCTTGGGGAGGGCAGGAATGACCCAGGATTCTAGAAAGCAGTGCACTGGGGGGAGCACAGTCACTGGGAAGTCCTACCAAGTGAAAAAGGCATTGTGTACAGGCTCAGCAAAACACCATGCGTTGATCACTCCAGGTACAGCCTAGCTATCAGAATTCAGGGAGGCTCATCGCCTCCTGAGGTTGTGATCTTCATTCTGAAAGAAGTTCCCACCCTGAGGAAAGCATGGATCCTTGTATGGAGAGTCAACTGAGCAATGCCTACAGAAGTTATCACATGCTGAGAAGACCGCAGGCAGATGACCAGTTAGAAGACAAAAACAAAAATCCCTTAATTGATCTGCCTGCCTCCAAGCCCTCCCCATCCTTCAGTCCACTCTGCCCAGCTATAAGGCCTTTCCTAAAATGCCTCCTGGATCACATCTCTTTCTTCTCAAAAACCTGCAATGGTTCCTACTCCTTCTGGAAAAATTCTGAAGTCCTTCACCCAGCTTTTAGGGACTTCCATAACGTCCCCCTGCCTCTCTCTCCAAACTTTCCCTTATCCTTCTCCTACCTGAATTCCAGCTAGATGGATCTGCTTTGCCATGCCCAAACAGAATCACCTTCCCTTCCTGGAATTCCTTCTCTCTTGTTACTGGACTCCTACTCACCTTTCCAAGCTCAGCCCAATCCAATCCACAACCTATCCCTGGACTATAGCCTGCACTCTCCCACCTCTTCAACCTGACTCGTGCTACAGCCTCAGTGTCCTGTTGAATTCTGACCCCTCTTTTAAATCCCAAGGCAGATGCTGCCTCCTCCATGAAATCTGATGGGTCAATAACCATATTTTCCCTCTCCCCTTTGTCTGAACTCTTACAGTACTGACAGTTGACGTGATTCAATTGGCCCTTTCCCATTCTGACTTGTGAACTTTCTCTTCAGTCTTGTCCCTTTCTTTGCTAGACTGACAGGTCCTTGATGAATGATCTCCTTAGGCCCCTATCAGAGTATCCCGTACAGAGCAGACTTTCAGTAGGTCAGCATCAGTGACTGCCTGGTTGTAATAGTTCAATATTTAGGTTGGATGGTTATGGTGTAGCTGGTATGGTTGGGCTGTGAGCCAGAAGACCTGGCTTTGAGCCCTGGCTTCACCATTTACTAGGTATATGGAACCCAGGCAAATCACTCCCTGTCTCTGATACTCAGTTTCCTCTCCTACAAAATGGAAGCATTGGACTAGATGGTCCCTTCTTCCTGCCCTACCATTCTGTGTTTAAATGGTTCTTCACCAATTTCCTGTGCTGTGAATTTAGGCTTTAACATCAACTCTCCTGATCCCTATCTGGCATTCTATGAATATAAGCTGTGGACAAGAGATTGCCGAGCACCTGGAACATGTTTACCTTCGAGGCATCCGCGAAGCCTAGCCTGTAGCCATGTTCAAACTGCACTTCCTTCTCTTTCTTCTTGCCTTCATCATCCCGGTTTGAGTACAGCTCCAGCCGAGTGGCCACAGGTAAGTTATCTGCAATGCTGAAATGGCAAATCCCCAGTCAGTCCCTGCAGGTCTGCCCCAACTGGAAAGCAGCCCTCTCTGGGACATAAAGGAAGAGGAAGAAGAAGAAGAAAAGGAGGAGGAGGAGGAGGAAAAGGAAGAGGCGAGCCACTCACAGGTGGACATAATAATCCTCACTGATGCGTTCAGCCACAAGTTTGCTCTGCTCAACTGTCAGCACCACAGGCTTTCGGGGCTGGTAACACAGAACTTCACATTTCTTCTCGCTGTTCATTAATACCTGGAAAGGGGTGTTCACAATCCGATCCCCTCTGAGCACCTCTCCTGCCACAAGAAAGAGACACAGAGAGAAGCAGTCCATCATAGAGCATCTGCCTGATCTCAGCAGAAGCTCAGCTCTTCTCTATCCCTGAGGGACATGGTGAATTTGTAATAACAGATAACAGATAGCATATAATGTTTTATAGAGACATTATTTCATCTGATGCTCACAACAATCCAGGCAAGAACAAGCATTATCTCTATTTTACAGATGAAGAAACTGAGGCACACAGTCATTTGCCAAAGTTATGCAGCTGATATAAGGACAGGTCCAGTACTTTTTCCTATTATTTGCTTAAGTTTCTTGCTTTAAGGAGGGAAGAAGATAGGGAGAAAGTGAGAGAAGTTTAGCAAGACATTTTTGAAACACAGAAAATCCACCTAAAACAAGAACAAGAATAAACTGGAGCACTCTGTCTCTTTGACAGAGCAGTCCTGTCCACTGCTCTTTATCACTTTTTTTCTGTTGTGTGCGGATGATTATGCTACATGAGCAATAATAAACCATGAAGACTGAGTGTACAGAATAGAATTTATTATTCTAATTAAACAAAAATAACAAAATTAATTTTAGCATATTTAATGATGGTCATAATACAAAATGTGTTTCATAATGGAAAAGATAACTCACAAGTGGACACATCAATCTTCCACAACCTACTCAGCAGTCAATTGGTTCCATAACAATTACATACATGGTAAACAGTCCACTGTCATTTAGTATGACTTTTGCGTACCCAAAGCAAGCATTTCTTTCTTTCTTTCTTTTTTTTTGATGAGGAGATTGGGGTTAACTGACTTGCCCAGAGTCACACAGCTAGGAAATATCATGTGTCTGAGGCTGGATTTGAACTCAGGTCCTCCTGACTCCAGGACCAGTGCTCTATCCACTGCGCCACCTAGCTGTCCCAAGCATTTCTTAAACATCTGGGGAAAAAGAAGCAGAGGAACAGGACAGAGCAAAAAGCTTCTCTGGGGTCTGTCACAAGATGCCTGGAGACATAAATCAGGAAGACTCATATGCAGGTTTTCCTACTCTGTGGCAGAAGGGAAAGAGTTAATAGGAAACTCTGGAAATAAGAGAGGACAGGAGAATTTAGGACCCTCAGCCTTTTCCTTGCCAATGCAAGTCAGGAAAAAAATTAAGCAGGGGAAACTACTGCTCCATTTTACCTCCTGAGCTTGAGGCTGAAGACACCCCTTTGGTATCTTTCAGTCAATCCTGTTGGGTGCTGGCCTACGCTAAACATGTGTAGCTGTCCCTAAAACTCCAGTGTTTGTCCCATCTTAGATCCCAATACCTAGAAGCGGTAGTCCCTGGTGGCCAAAGGCTCCAGAAACACCAGGTCATGGGTGCTCCCTGCTTGAAAATTAAGGAGGCCAGGAGGCTTCAGTCCTCCAGAGTTACAGAACCTGATTCTATTGTACTCAGCTCCTTTGCTCTTCCCCTCCTCCCAGCTAGAGGAGGAAACAGGAGACAACAAATGACCCTCCTTTCTCCCAAGTCAAACAGATAGACTACTTAAAATTCCACCACTTAAGAGATTCATTTGAGTTAACAAGTAAACCCCAGCAGATGCTAAAAGGGAGGCAATCCCCACCTTAGTGTGAATTAGTCAAATAACACTATTACTAGCTCAATGCACTGTGATTGGTCAACAGTTTATTATGACACATTAACCAGTTCCCAATAAACGTCCCCCATGTACATTTCTGGCAAAAATCCCCTAACAGCCATAACAACTGACAACACATGTAACTTTCTACTTGTAAGAGTTAACTATTTCAACACTGGCCACATTACTGGACATGATATCTGCTGCCTTTTAGTTTTAGATCTTCACTTGCATTGCTGCAGTCATTATGTTTTTTGGATCCTGCTTTCATCATTCCGTATCAGTTTATATGAGCCTTCCCACATTTTTCTGAGGTCTCCAAATATTGTGCTCATGACACAATAATAGTCCATTATTCTCTTAATCAACAGGGGCCTACTTTGTTTCCAGTGTTTTGTTCCCATAAGGAGTTCTGCTGGAAATACTATGATACATATAGGAATCATCAACTTTTGTGGGATATGACAGTAGTAAGACTGACAGGGCAGCTTGGTGGCAAAATGGATGAGTACTGGGCCTGGAGTCAGGAAGACTTATCTTCCGGAGTCCAAATTTGGTTTCAGACACTTATTAACTGCATGACCCTGGGCAAATCACTTAATCTTGTTTGCCTCAGTTTCTTCACCTGTAAAATAAGTTGGAGAAGGAAATGGCAAACCACTCCAGTATCCTTACCAAGAAAACCCCAAATAGGGTCACAAAGAGTTGGATATTACTAAAATGATACAATAACTGTAAGACTGATAGGTCAAAGGGTATGAAGAGCTTAGTAACTTTTCTCACAATCCCAAACTGTTAACAGGAACAACTGGATGAATTAACAGATCCACCTATCCAACACTGACTATTTCTCTTTTACCATCCATCTTTTACTATCTTTGCCAGTGTGATGGGTCTGGGGGACACCTCAGGGATGTTTTAATTTTTATTTCTCTTATTGCTAATGATTTTGGATATTTTAAAATGTAATTGTTGATAGTGTGTACTTCTTCTCTTGAAAACTTTATTCATAAGCTCTGAACACATACACATACTCAGGAATGGACTCTCAGAGATTTCTGTCAATTCCACATCGATTCTGGATGTCTGACATTTATAAAAAATGTTGAATGAAAAATACGTTTTTTTCTTCTTGTTGTTGTACTTTTATTTACCCAACAAATGTACTTGAAATGATCCATTTTGACTTTTATAATCTCACCAATCCTTAGTCTGGTTATGCATTTCCCCTCTAACCATAACTGTGAAAGACAGGGCCCTTTGTCCTACTCTATTTTTCTTCAGACATTCCTCTTTATGTTTAAATTGTTTATTTATTTGGAATTTACCATGAGATTAGTCCAAATCTGCCTTCCTCTTCCACCCAAAGGCTCTCATTGTCTGTTGGACCCACACAGAATATGACTAATCCCTATTCCCTACAGCAGCCCTTCAAATACGTGCAGACTACTATCATATCCTCCTTAGTCCTCTCTTCCATAGTTCCTTCATTCATCTTATGACACAGTTTATAGAGTCCTACCTCCCCTTCTTGGGAAATCTTCCCTATGTCAAGATCCCTCTTAAAATGTGGTCCAGGGATGAATGCAATACTTCAGATGTGATGTGACCAGGGCAGGGTACAGTAAGACCATCACCTCTCTCTTTATGGATAGTATACCACATTGTTGGTCCACTGCAGTCAGCCAAAATGCCCAGATTCTTTTTTTATGGGAACTGGTGTTAAGTCATATTTATCTTATGCTTTTCAAACTCTAAATAACATTTATCCCTGTTAAATTTTATCTTATTAGGTTCAGTTTATTGATCTAACTTGGAGTCTTTTCTGAATCTCAATTTTGTCATCAAAACATACTAGCTTTGTCTCAGCTGCCAATTCATCATCACTGATTTTATGTCTTCATGCAAATTACAGACAAAAAACATTAAACCCAATGTGACCCCAGACAGAACCTTTTAGCTGCCATTCAAAACCTCTTTCTAAGTTCAACTCAACTCAACAAATGTCTATCAGGTGCTTACTAGGTAGAAGGCATTATGCCCAGAATGGGGGACACGAAGAGTAAAGTAAGGGAGGTAGCAGGGTGTAGTCACTAGAAAAGTGACATAATCTACTAGATTCTAGTGGATATAGTACTAGTCTTGAACTTAGGAAGTCCTAAGTTCAAGTCTGACCTCGAACACTTTTTTAGCCTGGTGACTATGAGTCACTTAACTTCTTTAAACCTCAACTTTCTCATTTGTAAAATGAGGGTCATAATACCTACAGGACCTACCTCACAGAGTTGCTGTAAGGCTCAAATGAGATAACACATGCGAAACATTCTACAAATCTTAAAGTATTATATGTCAGTTATTATCATTAAAAAAATAAAAATTATATAATCACTGCCCTCAAAGGAGCTCACGTTCTAATGGGGGAGTAGAGGTGGCACAAAAGGAAGAGATAACAAGTACTCCTCTGAGGAAGGCTGAATGTCACAGCATCAAGAAAGCCTGGGAAGTACCTAAACAAAGAATCTTCTCCAGCAAGTGTAGATGATATCCATGGAGGGGAGAGAACGGGAGAGGAGAGCTTTGGGCAGGAGATAATATCTGAGTGGAGCCTCAAGGGAAGTAAAGGAGGAGATATTCCAAGCATGGTTATGGAAGGAGCAAAAAATGAGATAAAAAGGGCCTTTTGCAGAGATGGGAGAGAGAGTAGTTCAGTCTGATTGGCTCACAAAATAGGTGGCTAGATAGGTAGACTGGAGCCGAACTTTTCTTACAATTCCAAAATACAACACCGCCCCCCCCCAAAAAAAAACCAGTTCACAGATTTGTCAGTAGTGAATTAGTATGCCTGTCCAGGGGAGTGACAGGTTAGCAGGTAATGGGGAGAAACTAAAAGTTTTTTAAAAGAAACGTGACATAATCACGGCAGTTACTTATGAAGATTACTTGAGCAGGATGGATTGGAGAAGCAAGAGAACAGGTAAGAGGCTTTTGAAATTGCCCAGGCAAGAAGAAATGAGACCCTGGACTAGGACAGTTATGGGAGAGAGAGAAGGGTAGTAGTTTCTGGATGAGATATTGTAGAGATAATAACTTGGCAGAGGTAGAAGTATGGTAAATGTAGGACTTGGGGAAATGATTAGCTGAATGAGACAGGGAAATGTAGAAGAGTCAGAAGTAACTCTAAGGTCCCTAGCCTAGATGAACTGTGAGAATGGTGGTGCAATTAAAAGAGAAGGAGAGAACTTGGTGAGGAGAAGCCGATTTGGAGAAGAGCTGATAAGTTCCCCTCCTGACTATGCTTCTGAATCTCTGGACTTCAACACCATGCCTCAAGAGCTGCATTCTCACCCAGGAACTTCCCTCCTCACCTGAGGCCTCTTCATCCTAGAATAACCATCAGCTCAGCTCCTGTAGCCTTCCCATCCAGAAGTATCCTTTTCCCATTGGTGAGTTCCTCCTTGGGCCTCCATTTTGTGGAGGGGCCCAGGCCAATCAACCTTTTTTTTTCCCCCCCGGTTGGCTCAGCTCCTGAATTTCTGGATTTTAATGCCATAAACACCTTCCCCTGCTAATCCCCACTCTAGCTCCTTTTTGTGTTTTGTCTTCCTCCATTAGAATGTAAACTCCTAGAGCAAGGATTGTCTTTCTTTTTGCTTGTATTTGTATCCCCAGTGCTTAGCATTGTCTCTGGCTCATGGCAATTGCTTAATAAATATATAATGTCTTGGGTTTGGTTTTAAACATATTGAGTTTGAAGGCATAGCAGTTCACCCATATTTTAGGATAATTATGCCTTCAGCCTGTGGAGATAGCTAAAAGGAGGCCAGAAATATGGAACTGAAGTTCTAGCAAAGGTAGGGGGCCTGAGATAAAGATTTAAGAGTAATTTGCAAAGAAGTAATCACTGAAACTATAGTAATATATAAGATCAACAAAGGAAAGAATGTAGAGAGAAGACCTTGGAGAGAACCTTGGGACATATCCACATTTTAAAGAGGGTGAAGACAAAAAAAAGCCATTTAATTTGATGGTAAGGAGGTCCTTAATGCCTTGGAGAGAACAACTTCAGTACAGTAGTGGGGACACATGACGAACTGCAGAGGATTTAGGAGTGGTTGGCAAGAAAGAGGCAAAAGTGCGTGCAGACTAACGTAAGAGTTTGGCAGTGAGGTGGAGGAAAAAAGTGAAATAGATGGCAGGGGTGAAGGGAAAGTTTATTTTATGAAAGAGAGCTCTGAACATGTTTATAGGCTCAGAGGAAGGAGATGAGAAAAAGACTGAAGGTGAATGAGAAAGGGAGATAGATCACAGAGAACATGAGATAGAGGAGTACATGTGGAAAGGGCGGCTTTAATGAGGAAGAAGAAAGGAGGTAGGATAGGCAAGGACACTGTGATGATAAGAAGGATAGATAAAGTTAAAGACATTCACACTGGATGGCCTCAATCTTCTTAGTAAAGTAGGAGGCAAAGTAAATCTTCTGTTAAGGGGAGGGAACAGAGAAGCCAGAGGTAATGTTGGAATGTGGGGCACTTTGGAAAAGGATAGGTTTGGGAAGCGTAGGGGTTTTGTCCATCCACAGGATAACGGGAGGACACTGGGGTCCAGGCGAGTTGATTCATAAAGCAGTAGGAGGTGGAAGAGGTAGGGGGTTAGAAACAAAGAAATGGGAGATTACAAAAGACAAATTCTTTTTAGCTCATGAGGTCCCGTCTCCACTTTCCCTTCATTTTACTCCTTCTGGAGAGGGGAAGGAACAGACAGTTAGTAAGGAAGATATTTAAAACAGCTGCAGGAAGCTGCCTATTCATTGATCAATATGCAAACTTTTACTGGGACAGGAGTAGATACAAGATACATGCAGAGGTACTTTATACTACTTCTGGTCCCAACTCTACTCACTGTTAGATTTAGGGATAATTATTCTTTCGGCCTGAGGACCAGCATCTGACTGAGAGACCCAGAAATAGCCAAAGAGAAAAGACTTGAGAGAAAGGGACACTAATGCCTCATTGGGGTAGGTTGTCAGGAGGAAACAAGGGCTTACCAAGATTCTCTGCCTTATATGTTATCTTCTTGGGCTGGCAGAAGGGCAGTGAGTAATATTCATAGGGCAGCTGAGTTCGAGAACTGGTCAGCTTCACAGCCTGGAGGGAAGAAAAGAGAGAGGGCATTATATTCAGATCAGGCAAACCAATAGGATTTGCTATACTCTTCTTCCTAGATAAAGAATTTTTAATACTTCCTAACCCGTGACACATTCTCAACTAAACTTTTCCAATGGGAGAATGAATAATAACAAATATCCAGATTACAAAAATCAAATGTGAATTATTTAGCTTTTTATGAGGTTCTGATTTTAGTCCTTCAAAAGACCTACATTGTCCTCAGCTGGAAGCAGATTGTAATCTCTGATATCTTAGTATATGGTTTCATGAGTTGCTATGACAAGCCCTCCCCCCCCCCCCAAAATTATCACTTAGTGGCCAACACTTGGGGGATGAAACCTCTCTGCATTTAGCTAAACAGGTTCTTTTCCCTTGGCTTTTACTCAATTCAATGCAATAAACACTTATTAAATGCCTCCTATGTGTCAGTGTGTCTAAGCACTGGAGATACAAAAAGAGGCAAAAGATAGTCCCTACCCTAAAGGAGCACTGGATTGAATGGGGTAGACAACATGCAAACAAATACATACAAAGCAAGTTATATACACGATAAATAAGAAATAACAGAGGGAAGACACTGGAAATAAGAGAAGCTGGGAAAGGTAGGAGGTGGGATTTTAATTGGGACTTAAAGGAAGCTAAGGAGGTCAGTAGTAAGAGTGGAGGAGGGAGAGTATGCCAAGCATGAGGGACAGCCAAAGAGAATGCCCAGAGCCAACAGATGGAATGTCTTGTTCATGGAACAGATGAGGTGAGTGTCACTGGATTGAAGAGTACCTGTTGGAGAGTAAGAGTACCTGTTGGAAGGTAGGAGGGGGCTAGGATATGAAGGACTTTGAATGCCAAACAGAACATTGTGCATTTGCTTCTGGAGGCAACAGCAAGCCACTAAAGTTTACTGAGTAGGGGAAATGATATGAATTGACATGCATTTTAGGAAAATCACTTTAGTGGCTGAATGGGAAATGGATTGGAGAGGGGAGAGACCTGAAGCAGGCAGACCCACCAGCAGGCTATTTAAATAATTAAGATGTGAGGTGATGAGGGCATGCATTAGAGTGGTGGCGGTGTCAGGGGAAAGATGGGGATGTGTTCCAGAATTTGCAAAGATGAAACTGACAGGCTTTGGTAATAGCTTGGATGTGGAGTGAGGGTAAGAGACAGTGAGGAATCCAGAATGACTTCTAGGTTGCAAGTCTGAGGTATTGCCCTTTAAAGTAATAGGGAAAGTAGGAGGGGGACTCGAAGCTGTGTTAGTGTGGAAGTACCAGGGCTTACCCTCCACTAGGTGTACCTTGAAAGAACGCAGGGTCACTTTCCTGTAATGATGAGGGAGTGCTTTTGTGGAGGGAATGTTAGAATATTATGTACGTAATGAGTAAATGTACTCAATACTTAATAAAGATCCAAGATCTCTTTTTTATCTATTAGATAAAGCTACTCTCCTACAGCCACATTTGGGGGCAAAACTGAAACAAAGAGGGGGTTTAGATGGTACAGTAGCAGCAGCAGGAGTTATACTCACCTGTGACTAAACCATAACACCAGGAATTCAAAAACAAAAGCAAAAAAAATCCTCCCGCACAAAAACTAAAATGAGTTAAACTGCATTAAAGAGCTCCAGACCTAGTTAATATCTTAACATCTGGATACATAAAGAGGTCAGGATAGCCATTTATTTGGTCCAAAAGGCCAAATACTAGAGAAATAAGGAGCCATCTAGCACTCTCTTCTCCCATCTAAGAATAAAGAAGTCTTCTGTGAACCCAAGGACTCTGTGTCCCACCTGTTCCTTTTCTCTCTCTCTGAAAGCACAGCTTACACTTACCTTGATTTCTACAGGGTCATTCTGGTGGAAGTTGATTGGTGCAACTCCAGGGACATAAAAGGAACTTGTTCCACAAACAAGAGAGAGAAGTCCAAGCACCTGCGGCAGCAACCAGCCCTGCCAGGAGGAAGAAAGATCAGGCTGGATGAAGCAGGAAGGATCACAGGCTTTTGAAGTGAAGGAGCCTTAGCCCTCATTTAATCTGTTTCCCTCACTTTGATGGGGAAGCTGGGGAGCAATAGGAAGAGTAAGTGGCTTGTGACGCGTAGCAAAGCTGGGATCCAAACTCAGGTATTCTCACTTTGCACCACGCCAGGATGCTTCACCTGCCCAACGGACAGTCACTCAAAATAAGCCTCGACCGATCCTGCTACTGACAAAGTGCTTTTCTCTGCGCAGGCCAAACCATTTCATATTTGCTGTTTTCCAGGGGCTCTATAAGGCAGTCATTTTGCTTCCCATGAAATGGGTACCAAAATGGAAAACGAGAGACGAGGCTAGAGACAGAAGCCAGGCCTCTCACTGTTCTTCCCACTAGTTCATCCTTTCTCTTGACCCATTTACCTAGCAGAAAAGAACACTCAATAACATCCACAGAAATTGGCCACTTCCCTACTCCAACTTCCCCAGGAAGCTGCCTTCTCCATAACAAGTACCTGGAATTCTACCAGTCCGACAAAATGTTTCTGTCATCATTTTCTGCCAACAAACCAGAATTCAAGACACAGAACAAATGTCCCCTTAGACATGAAACTTTTCCTGATCCCATCCACCCCACCACAACCCAGGCAAAACGTGATTTTTCCTTTCTTGGCCCTCATATGACAAACACTTCACACCCTCACTCTTTTATGTTTCTTAAAGCACCTTGTCTGGATCTCTCCTTTGCCCTCATCACATCGATTTTACCCCAGCATATGAGCCACTAGCCTTTGCCCCACTGGCATGTGATTTGATGCTCAGAAGGGTACTTACAATCTCTTTTGGCTTCCAATTTGATTACATCCAATAATTCACTTCAGTCCCACCCCTTCTGAAATGGAATCTTTTGATCTTACCTCAGCTAAGCTGTCCCAGGGAATTCAAGGGCTCCTGCAGGGCTCAAGTTGCAAGGTGAAATGAAGACCCAAAGCTAGCCTATTTTAATCTATATTCATGAGAAAGCTTCAAAACTGACACAAAGATGCAGGAAGCAAAATGGATCACAACAAAGAGGTTAGTTCTCTCTCCACTAAAACTGGACCTCTCCTACCTCCTTGCTTGGAATGGACCCATTCCACATCTTTGCCTATTTAAATCTCCCCTTCTTCCAAAGGCCTAGCCTCCTCCCTTCTCTCTACATTTCACCAACCTCCCTGAAGGCAGACTGTATTGTTCACACTTTACATTTCAGACACTTACTGGGTGCAACACACCCAGTAGGTGCCTAATAAACATTTCTTGAATGAATGAGTAAAAACAAAAAGGTAAGTATGACAACAAACAAGTTAAGAGGCAGAATGACCTTTAGGATAACGGACACTTGAGTGGAATAAATCTCAGGTAACAAGATCACTGTCTTTAAATACCTAAAGGGGTTAGTCAGGCAGAACCAGGGAGTAGAATCAGAGAATCTAGGAATTGGAAGGATCCTCAAAGTTATCTAATGCAATAATTCTCAGAAGACTTCATCCCACTCACAATATCCCCAACAAGGAATGGTCATCCAGGCTTCATTCCATCCGTGAATGGTTCAAATTGGTAGGACACAGGACATTCCATTTCCCATCTCAGTGTCTTTATGCTGGCTCTTAGAATCCCTCATTTCCTTCAAAACTCCATCCAAATGATGAATTTTGAGGAGGAGGGATGAGATATATGCAGAAATAATTGTAATAGAAATAGAATGAAAGAAGCGTTTAGGGGAGGTCAGAGAAGACTAAAAGACTGGGTGCAGGGCAGGAATTTTAAGCTCAGAGAGATAAAGCTTTCCCATGAAGCTCTTCCTGATCTTTCTAGCTATTAGGAGGCTACCCTCATATTCACTTTGTATTTATTTTGTTTATACTTATTTGTGTGCAAGTCCCCCCCCCTTAGGATTTAACAACTTTATTTCATTTCTGTTTCTGTATCTTTAGCACAAGGAAGTAGCTAGATGGCGCAGTGGATACAGCACCGGCCCTGAAGCCAGGAGTACCTGAGTTCAAATCTGGCCTCAGACCAAACACTTGACACTAGCTGTGTGACCCTGGACAAGTCACTTAACCCCAATTGCCTTAAAAACAAAAGAAAAAAGAAAAAAAAAGAATACTTCCGTATCTTTAGCACAAAGTGGATGTTTAATGAATGCTTGTTGATTTACTGGTGAATGATAATGGCCCAAAAACTTCTTCCCTGAAACTTCATTCAACAAATACCTATTTAATTCAGCACCTATGATGGCTTCTAGGCCCAGTGCTGCTATTATTTCCTCTGTAGGACCTTTGGGGCATTAGTTTCCTTTTCAGAACATCTGTAAGGTCTCTTCTATCTTGGACATTCTATTTTTCTGTGTACATGGCCCTGAAATACCAAATTGATTAAGAAGACATTGTTATGTCTGACTTCTAGAAGAGCAGATGAGATCTGTATATATCTACAATGTAAAGCAGAATGTGATAAATGCCATAGAGAGATAAACATAAAGCTGGTCAGTGGCCTGTTACAATTTGGGCAAGATCTCATTTGTATAATAGAACAGGAAGAGCTAACCTTACATTATTATAGTGGAATGAGCACAGGGTCTGGAGTTAAAATACGTGGTCTGAACACCAGCTAGCTTTGCCTTTGTTGTTCAATCATTTCAGTTCTGTCTGACTCTTCATGACCCTATTTGGAGTTTACTTGGCAAAGATACTGGAGGAGTTTGCCATTCTTTCTCCAGCTCACTTGACAGACAGAAAATTGAGGCGAATAAGGTTAAGTGACTTGCCAAGGGTCACATAGCTAGAAAGTGTCTGAGGCCATATGTGAATTCAGGAAGATAAGTCTTCCTGATTCTGGGCCTGGCACTTTATCCACTTCACCACCCAGCTCTGCTACTGACTACCCACTTAAACAACTCTGGGCAAGTCATTTAACCACTGTGGTTCTCAATTATTATTTTTTCTTTTTTTTGTTTTAAATTATTTAAACGAGGGAGTAGACTTGCTGATCTCTAAGGCTTCCTTCCAGGTCTAGATTCTATAATCGTAATAATACCACCGTATAGTTATACAAAACTTAACAGTTTATATAGTTCTTTCACATGACTATCTACCATGAAGGGTTGATGTGAGAAAAATAATTTTAGAGTAATGTATAAATGTGAGCTATAATTATTAGTATCTTAAGCATTACATTTCCAGGAACAGTCTAGACAAAGTAGATCTATCTGATAATTACTACTGTAAAGAGAGATACAGTATACACCAAAAAGAGACAGCAATTTCTAGTCTTACATTTCACACCTAATAAGGATAAATGACATCATTTTCACGAGTCCTTTTCATGGGTGCTTAGCTGGGACAAGAGAAGACTGGGGGAATTTGAATGCTGTCTTCAAATTATACAGATATACCTACACATATACCTACACGTATACATACACACATTATATAGAAGAGTGGAGGAGAAAAAGGAGGGAAGGGAAAAGGGGAAAGGTAAGGTGAAAGGTGACTTACTAACAGGGTTATATACTGGCTGCTGGGATAGAAATGACCTAATTATTATTATGTCTTAGAGTTTGTGATTGGGATGCACCACATATTTGGGGAAAGCACATTTCAAAGGGTTAATAGCTAGGACCTTATGGACTAAAATTCTTTATAGAAGAAGTTAGCCCAAAAGGGCTGGAAAACCCTTAAGATGGAAATTCTCGTACACAAAGACGGAAACAATTCCATGAGGAAGATAAATAAGGTTTAACTGAAATGACTAATGTGGATGTAGAAGGAACTAAGCCAATCGAGATTTTAAAAAGCTATGTACAGCTCAAATCGTGAGGCAGAGCCAAGGTGGTGGAGTAAAAGCAGTGACTTGCTTGAGCTCTCCCCCAAACCCCTCCAAATACCTGTAAAAAAGGCTCTAAACAAATTCTAGAGCGCCAGAACCCACAAAAAGACAGAGTGAAATGAATTTCCTGCCCAAGACAACCTGGAAGGTCGGTAAGAAAGGTCTGTTGCGCCAGGCTGGGAGAGGAGCACAGTTTAGCGTGGGGCCCCGCAGACAAAGATCAGGCCTCAGCGATCCTGGAGCAGGCCTCAGAGGACTGAATCAAGGAGAGCTGTGGTGGTTTCCAGACCTCTCAACCCACAAACACCAAGACAACTTAGAAGATCAGTAGGAAAGATCTGTGACCACAGTGAGAGAGGAGCTTGGTCTGACCCCAGTCCTGGTGTGGTGCCGGCGGCTGCTTCCAGAGCTCTTCGCCCACACGTAGAGTGGGGATCAAGTGGCTGATCAGAGGGGGACTGCAGGGATCTCTTTGCTGGTGCTGAGGCAGAATTCTCTTGCTTTGCCCATGCTTGTCTGGGTCGCAGTTCTGGGTGTGGTCCTGGGGTGAGAGGAGCATTGGCATGGTGGAGCTTGTGGTGATGATGGAGAAAGAATACTCCTCACAGTGCCAAGGCAGAAAAGAGTGCTTATGGTCACTCATGGACCAGAGCACAGGCAAGGAAAGGAGTAAACACCTCGCCTCTGATCATACCACCTTGGAAGAACTGAAAATTTACAGGTCCCTAGAATTATCTCTGAAAACAGCTGCACAAAACCCCTGAAACTTGGGACAGTACATTCTCCACACTAGAAGCAGACCCCTACCTTAACAAAGAGTTTAAAACTCAAGTAACTGGCTGGGAAAATGAGCAACAGTGCAAAAAGAATCAGACCATAGAATCTTTCTTTGGCAACAAAGAAGATCAAAACATAAAACCGAAGAAGACAACAAAGTCAAAGCTCTTACATCCGAAGCCTCCGAGAAAAATATAAATCAGTCCCAGGCCATGGAAGAGCCCAAAAAGGATTTTGAGAAGCAAGTAAGAGAAGTAGAGGGAAAACTGGGAAGAGAAATGAGAGTGATGCAAGAAAATCATGAAAAACAAGTCAACAACTTGCTAAAG